CCCCGATGGCAGATTTTCTCACTGCAATGCATCTCCTTATTTCCTGACTGCTCATACCAAGGGTGTTAATTGTGGATCCAAGCAAGATGAAGCTTTTGACAGTTTCAATCTCCTTTCCATCCATCATTAAATGGCCTATTGGTCCAGTGGTAAGAATCTTTGTTTTGATATTGATATGCAATCCATACTGAATGCTACATTCCTTGATCTTCTGCAACAAGTCTTCAAGTCCTCCTCACTTTCAGTAAACAAGGTTGCATCATCTGCATAATGCAAGTTATTGATAAGTCTCCCTCTAATCTTGATGCCACCCTCCTCTTCATAGACTGCAGCTTCTTGAATAATTTGCTCAGCATACTTGAATAACTTGCTCAGATTGAATAGGTATGAAGAGAGAGTACAACCCTGATGCACTACCTTCTGAATTTTAAACCATGCAGTGCTCCCCTGCTTTTTTCACACACAGCCTCCAGACCCAGGTATAGGTTCTGCATGAACACAATAAAGTGCTCTCGGATTCCCATTCTCCCAATGTCAGCCACAACTTGTTATGATCCACACAGTCAAATGCCTTTGTATAATCAATAAAGCAAAAATACACATTTTACATCATGACAGATGGAGAAAACAGTAAAAATGTCATTGAATTCATCTAATTTGAATCCACAATCAACAAACTTGAATTTCTCTATGCCACTACAATGAATTACAGAACAAAAAACAGAAATGGAGAATATCCTAAGATATATCAGAATATCCTAGTGCTACAATTGATTGGGAGAAACAAATACTTTAGGGAAAACGGTGAAAATATGCCTAATGTCCACCTCATGGGAATCAACTTTGCACTGATGGTAATTCTCATAATTTTCCCACGTAAATTTATATGGGTTCTGGCATTATCATTACTGACCCTTTAAGCACATTTTATAAGTACAAAGCTGCTAATCAAATGAGGGTTAAACCCTCTCTCTGGATCTACAGGATATCGGGGTAGTAATTTGCTTCTAGATTATTTTCCAGATTACCAGGAAAGGACTGGTAATCCTCTCCTATGCAAGATTAACTGCCTCAGGAGACATACATATAGCACTGGGAAAGTCTGAAGTCATGGACCTCTCCAAATTAATGAGGAACAATGATGTCAGTTTTAAGACTAGTGTACACCTAGATGACAGAAGAAGAATTGATGTCTTTGGCTGTGGTGTTGGAGAAGAGTACTGAGTATTCCACAGACTGCCAAAAGAATATGTCTTCGAGAAAGTGCAGACAGAGTGCTCCTTGGAGGCAAAGATAACAAAGTCTCACCTTATATTGAGCATCCTGTTATTTTTGTTAAGGGCTATCGAGTCAAGTGTAACTCATAACAACTACATGAGCAATGGATCTAAACCCTGTTCTATCCTGTACTAACCTCATGATCTCTGATACACTGGAGTCTAGTCGCTGTGTCAATCCAACTGATTAAGGGTCTTTCTCTCTTTCACCAACCCTCTACCTTTCCAAGCATGATGTCCCTCTCCAACAAATAGACTCCCATAGCAATATGCCCACACAGGTCCAAGGAACACTCTGGCTGCACCTTCTCTAAGACATATGTTGATCTTTTGGCAATCCATGGAATACGCAGTACTCTTCTCCAATATCACAGTTTAAAGGCGTTAATTCTTCTATCATCCTTATTCATTATCCAGCTCTTAGATGCATAGCAAATTACTTAAAAGATCATCACATGTATAAGGTGCACCTTAGTCCTCAAACTGACATCAATTCTCCTCAATAATTTAGGGAGGTACTTTACTATGAACTTGCCCAGTACACTACAACTCCTCATCTCCTGACTGCTGATAGTAAGCATATTGATTGTAGATCCAAATCAGATGAAGTCTTTAGAAGTTTTAATGTTTTTCTCCATCTATCATGATATTATCTATTTGTCCAATTGTGAGAATTTTTGTTTTCTTGATGTTAAGATGAAGTACATATTGAAAGCTGCAGTGTTCAACTTTCTGTAGCAAGTGCCTTAAGTCCTCCTCACTTTAGCAAGCAAGGTTGGGTCATCTGGACACGTTGTTAGGAGAAACACTTCTTTGGAGAAGGACTTCATGGTGGAGGGTCAGTGAAAGAGAGGAAGTACCTCAACCAGATGGACTGATACAGTCACTGCTTCAATGGGCTTGAGTATGTCAGATAATGAGTATGGTACAGGAGAGGTCTGCGATCAGATCTGTTGTTCATGAGTGGGACTCAAAAACACCTCACAACAGGAAAATAAATTTAATTTTACTCTTTCCTTTACATATACAAAAATCAAACTTTTTTGTATACTTAAAGAAAACATTACTATTAAGCTCTGGTGACCTAGTGATAAGAACCAGAGCTGCAATCCACAACACACAGAATTTGAATGTGCCAGCTTCTCCATGGGAAAAGGATGGACAATCTTCCCCGTGATTAACTGCCTCTGAAAACCTACTAGGAGGTCAGCTATAGATTGTTCCAACTTGATTATACTCAACAAGAACAACAATCAAATTTGGTGGCTTTAGTGATAAGGAGTTGAAGCATCAATGCAAAGAAATGCAGTTCAAATCCACCAGTTTGCTCTATGGGAGAAAGATAATCAATCTCCTCCTGTGCTATTAGTTGCCCCTGAAAACTCTCTGGATGGTAAGTTATGAGTCGATTCTGATTTGATGGAACATAATAAGAATAAACTGAAACCTGTTATTATTGTTGATGATGCAACCCTGGTTACAACACTCCCCAAACCAAAAAACACCACATTGCATAGGCCTATGCTATCTTCACAATCATTATTATGTTTGAGCTTACTGTTGTAGCCACTGTGTCTATTCTTCTCATTGAAAATCTTATTTACCAATGACCCCTGACTTTGCCAAGCAAAACTGCCTTCTACAGGGATTTGCCCTTATTGAGTACATACCCAAAATCACACATCTCAAGGAACATTATGGCTGCACTTCTTTCTAAGACAGATTTGTTTGTCCATTTGGAAATTCAGAGCATATTCTATATTCTAAGCAAAATTAAATCTTTGACAACTTCAACATATTCATCATTTTTCCATCATATTTTTATTGGTTCAGTTGAGAGGATTTTTCCCCCTTTAATTGGTGGACCATACAAACTGAAAGCTAAAGGCTTCAATCTTCATCAACAAGTGCTTCAAGAGTTTCACCAAGCAAAGATATTCTAGGTTTTAATGTTGTTGGTGTTAAGTGTCACTGAGTCAACTATGACTTATAGTAACCCTAGGAACAATATATCTGAGCCCTATTCTATCCTATCCTCATCATCTCACAGATATTTGATCCCATGTTACAGTCACTTTGTCAATCCATCTTTCTGAAGTCTTCTAGTCTCCTTCCTAAGTGTGATTATGGTCTCTTTCAAGGACTGAGCCTTTCTAACAAAAAGGGCAAAGTATGTAGGGAAAAGCTTCATCATCCTTGCCCCCAAAGATCACCCTATTGCACTCTCTCTATAACTTATTTATTTGTTCTTTTGTCCTTGGGATAGTTCTTCAACACCACAGCTCAAAGATATTGACTCTTTTGTCGTCCTTAATCATTGTCCAACATTCAGATGTATATAAAGTAGACTGGATCATGTCTGAACAGAGCAAGACTTTAATAAGCCTTCCTCAATCCTGATGCCCCATTCTTCATGTAATCTAGCTTCTTAGATAATTTTCTTAGTATACAGGTTGAAAATGTATGGTGAAAGGACACAATCATTATACACACCTTTATAATTTCTAAATGATATAGTTCCCGTTGTTCTTTGAAAGATTATCTCTTGATTCATGTACATGTTTTGCAGAAGTATAAATAAATGTCCTGAAATCCCTATAAATTCTTTTTAATGTTATCCATAATTTATTAGGATCTACACAATCTAACACTGTTGCAAAGTCAATAAAGCACACATAAACATCTTTCTTGTCTGTTTTCAGGCAAGATCCACATGCAATCTGCAATAATACCCCTCTTCTGAATCCAGCTTGTGTATCTGGAAATCCTCTGTCTAGATATTTTTTCAACCATTTTTAAATTTTCTTCAGCAAATCCTTTCTTGTATGCTATGTTAATGACATTATTCAACAATTTCCTAATTCTATGGAATACTGTACCATCAAACATATAAATATGGATCTGTTCTAACTGGCTGGCCCAGTGGCTACCGTCCAAATTTCTTGATATAGAAGGCTGCTTTCATGGTTGCATACATTTGTTGAACTATCTTAATTGAAAATCCATCAAGTAGTGCAATCTTGTTTTCTACCTCTGTCTCCCGTACATCAGCTTACAGCCAAATGAAACCTTCTGAAATATGTGAGCATTAATGAGTTATTTTTGGCATAGTGACGATGTGCACTCACCCCCTATTCTTTCGGTGCTTTTGCATTGCTCAATTTTTTACCCATAAAATTCTTCACCATTTTTTTTTCAGTCCTTCACTACTGAAACACAAGGTTTGACTTTTTCATCACCACTTTCAATTAAAGAAATGCTGAATGTGTGACTCTTTAAGCTTTCTAACTCCAGATATTTACACTTTTATTTTGTAATTTTTGGTTTACTGTCTTAAGCTACCCTTTGAAATCAGTCGTCCAGCTCTCTTATGGTAGTAATTATTTATTTAATTTCATTTAGTCTTCATTTAAGAGCAAGTTTCATCAATTTTGATCTTCTACTCCTTTCTCTGACATTTTATTGAAGAAATTCCACAAGGTCCTGGCTCAAAGTCTCATCATTGCTGAGTCTGTACTGCCTCACAGCTAGTGTTACAGTGAGTTTTCAAGGCTGTAAATTACACAGAAAGAGACTGTCCATCTTTCTTCCAAAAAGGTTCTGGGAGATTCAAACACTATTTAGGATGACAGCACAATTTGTTACCCACTAGTCCACCAGAGCTCCCAATGTGTGAACGTGGACTTAAAGACAAAAAGTAAAGGTAAAATTATCAGGACTTACCTTACTAACTTGGTTCTCAAAATATTTCAAGAAACAATCAGAAGTTGCTATACATTTTCGACATTTCCAACAACGAAGAATATTTATTTCTTCTTGATTATGGCTTTTAGTTATCAAGTCTTCAATTCTTTTCATCTGTAGGAACAATTAAAGATTTAGAATGTGAAATTGTGGTAGATAAGCTTGATTTTCTAACTTCTTGGCATGTTAGCTACATGAACAGCAAAAGAAAGAGCAGTATCTCTGAGGTATCTATTAGACACTAGGCTTTAGACTATGGGCTCTCTATATATTTAGGGTTAAAAGTTTTATTAATTATTATGACAATACATTAGGTCAGCAATTATATTTTCTTTTGATAGATTTTTCTGTGGTCCATTTTTGCTAAATAGTAAAGAGAAACTACAAAAAATTCAAATAAATTACTAGATAAGTTTTAAAAGGAGCTGTGGTAGTACAAATAATCATGTGATGTGATGAAATAAATGAATGTCTTTATGCAAACTTTATCTTGGTTACTTGGAAACACTTTAGGAGATTATTCTGCTAAATCCTGAAGAGCTACATTTGTCCTGGTTTCTTATTCCTGAGGATTTGTTACTTTTTTCCAGGTTGATCTCACTGGTAAACTATGAACAATTTGAGATCTGAAACACTGGTTTGATTCTAGGCTGCAGCTGACCTATTGCAAGAATTACTAAATTTAAAATATTTTTTAAAATTGGCTCTAGACTATGCACGATGGGAGAAAGAAAGGTAATCTCCTCCTCAGCTATTTACAGCATCTGAACAGCTACTAGCTGTTCAGCTACTTTAGAGTAGTGAGTGAGTGGTTATGAAAACAACCTGACTATGACCTATGAAAGTGGTAGTTCATAGCCCTAGAAATAAGGTCATGCCTTGAAAACTATGAAGAACAATCTCACATAGGTCTTTCTCAAAGGAAGATGCAATAAGGTGGGGGGGGGAGAAGAAATATGCAACAAAGAAAAGGCAACAAGGAACCTCCTAAAAGTTGTAGCATAGGCTAAAGGCTATAACACTGAAGAAGGTTACATGTCCAGAAGGGGTTCTGTGACTGAGTTAAGCAATGACAGAGGGGGGGGAAAAAGCAAGTCAGAGGCAGGTAGGACAAAGGCAGAGAGGCTTTTCCTAACAGAATGGAGAGGAGGCCTGTTCTGAGGGACCCCAGAGGAACCTGGGCTCAGGAAGCTGACAGGAGCCTTGACGGCCAAGAGGAACTGAGAGGGCCACTGTACACTGAAGAAATGATTCCTGGTCTTGACTCTACATGACAGCCTGCTGATCTTGATCCAAAGTTGCACTGGACACTTAGTAACAATCCACTTAACTATAGTATGGGCTGTGGTCTACAAGTTCTGTATGGCACTGCAATGAATTAAAGAACAAAAAAGAGAAGTGGAGAATGTCATGTTATGGATGACTAGTATCAGAACTGATTGGGATAAACAAATACTTTTGGGGGTGGGGAGGGAAGGTGAAAATAAGCCAGATGGATCCTGGCTGAAAGAAAATAAATTCCACCTTACGGAATCAACTTTGTGCTGATGGTAATTCTCACAATTTATCTGCATAAATTTATACAGGTTTTGGCACTGTCATTACTGACCCTTTGTGTACTTTTTATAAGTCCACAACTGCTAAACAAATAGGGATTCAAATACACTCTCTGGATCCACAAGATACAGAGGTGGTAATATGCTTCTAGATTACCTTCCAGATCACCAGAAGAAAAGGATTGATAACCCCCTCCCATGCAAGATTAACTGCCATGGAAAATCAATTGGAGGGTCAGCTATGTGTCAGTTCTCACTCAATGGCATGCAACAACAACAATCTGCTTCCATAAAGATTATAGCCAAGAAAACCCTACGGTCCACTCAGAGTCAAAAGTTGATCAATAACAGCTATTAAAAACAGTACTAGTGGCTTTATACAACAGCCTTGGAAAATACATCATATGATTTTATTAATCTGAGGTCTCAGAGCAGTCATGAGGGAACTACAGAAACAGCAGATCAGCTGCAGGCATAAAATGAGCCTAGTAAATAATGCAATATACAGGGGAGTGAATGTATTGCTGAATACATAAGTGATGGATGCCCCAGTGGCACTTAGATACACAGTGATTGGGACACTCAGCAGGAGGCTAGGTTCCTAAGTCAAAAGATAAAGATAACAATAAGATATTCCTAGCAACATTTATTGGACTACAGTTACATTTACAGGCTACTGAGGTCTAGGAAATTCAATTATAGAAGTCCATCTTTTCCACTGACCTGGATGCTCATATTTTATTTAAATTTTAATAATCAGAAGCATACATTTTCATAAGATGGCATGTGTTGTTGTTATGAGCCATCGAGTTGCCTGGGACTCACAGCGATCCTATGTACGAGAGCTCTAAACGCTGTTCTACCCTGTGTCAACCTAGCCATCTCAAACGCATTCATTCCCACCACTCCAGTCACAGAATCAATCCATATCATTGAAGGTCTTCCTCTCCTTCGCCGCCTCTCCACCCTGCCAAACATGATGTCCCTCTCCATGGACCAGTCCCTCCTTGCAATATGCCTAAAGTATGTCAGACGAAGCTTCAGAGTCCTTGACTCCAAGGAGCATTCTGGCTTCACCTTCTCAAAGACAAGCCTGCTTGTTCTCCTAGCAGGCCATGGTATATTCAGCACTCTTCTCTAGGACCACAGCTAAAAGGTATCAATTCTCTTTCTATCATCCCTATTCACTGTCCAACTCTCCGATGCATAGCACATAAATGCGAAGACTATAGCAGAGATCAGGCACACCTTAGTCTTCAGCCTGATGTCATTGCTCTTCAGTACTCTTAAGAGGTCCCTCACAGCTGACTTTCCCAAAACAATTCATCTCTTTATTTCCTGGCTGCTGTTACCAATAGTGTTGACTGTGGAGCCAAGCAAACTAAAACTGTTAACTATCTCAATCTCTTCACCATCCAT